GGGGGGGGGGGGGGGGGGGGGGGGGGGGGGGGGGGGGGGGGGGGGGGGGGGGGGGGGGGGGGGGGGGGGGGGGGGGGGGGGGGGGGGGGGGGGGGGGGGGGGGGGGGGGGGGGGGGGGGGGGGGGGGGGGGGGGGGGGGACAACAGACGGGTCTTAACTTGGTAGCAACATTATAGTGAGTATGTTTTTCCTCGTTATTCTCGCTAATCATTTTCGACAACGTGTATTAGTAATACGTGTACTTTTTGCCAACGAAATATTACTGCAAATTCTATGTACATCCTACGAGCACTTTCTCTCTAGTTTTTTCCGGAATGCTCACGTCGCTTTCATGCCTCGTTTCGAAATTCTTACGATTTTTGATCGATTTAGTTACCCGAGCAGGAAACTAAATTGAACGTAACGCTATCACGATTTCGTTAATTTTCAAACTGTATCATACAAATAACTGAAGATAAAAAGAAACGAAAGAAAAATGGGAAAATAATAAAAAGGCAATTCGGCGTATCGTGACGTGTACAAAAGAGAGCAGAACTGATTTAAATGATATCGACGATCGGATGCTAAGAAACATTTCGACACACAATTCGGGCGTGGGTCGAATCGTAACCCAAATTGAGACACGTCTACTTACCTACGCTCTTCAAATGAATCTCGGCTGAAGTCCTCGTACATGCCTCTACTATAACAGCGGTATAATAAATAATCGAAACTACGAATGATCAAAGATCAATATATACCATGTACTTGCTCCCTTGTCCAAGGCTTAACTTTGTGAATTAGTCCCTGTATAATGAAAATTCAAGACAAATAATCGCGTGCTGCCTAATATGACTGTTAAGAGAAGAATGGCTCAGGAAGAAGCTATTTCATAGGCAGATCGCTATGTACGATGATACGACAAATAAACGAAGAAACTACCGTCGACCAAATACACAGCTACATACGATAAGGAGAAGAACACATTTAACATACAATCCTACGATGAAACCTGTTTATACTTCGACACACATCTATGCACCAAGTGACGAGTATGTACTGCGCACGTAAATGACAGAATCTGAGGACAGATTTTTCAGAAGAACATTTACAAACCCTAATGAAATGACGAGCTACCATTTGACCAACGATCAATTCAAAACTATTTCCTTGTATTCGTGTATGTGTATGCGCTGCGCGCGTGTGAAGCTGATACGTAGCTAAATTATATTTAGAAAATCTGAATGCAAGTAACAGCCGAATATTTCTCTCCGCTTTATTTCATACGAGGTACACATACGAAAAGAAAACAAATTAATAAGTTGGACGTGTAATACAAGATTCGCAGCGATAAGAACATGGGATTTCTTTTACTTTTCAGCCAGTCATATAAGGCAGGCAGCGTTAGACTGGATTGTTAACCCATGCGACTTTCAAGTTATAAATCAATTTACATAATCAGAACGTAACGAGCCGTTTTGCAGCCCAGGCTGGGATCATGTAGGATAATAAGGTAACGTGCAACAACAAATTCAAAGTATTCAGAAAGATTGAGAAGTTCAATCAACTCTGTTTTCTATTTGAAAGTTTGCGAATGGATTTACATACATGAAAAGCTTTGAACCTCGTGAGTAGAAGTCAGCTTCAAGAACTGTGGATCATAATTTTGGAACAAACATATTCTTTGTTTTCTCTCTTCCTCTCTCTCTCTCTCTCTGCCCCTTCTCTATCTCTCTCTGTCCCTTCTCTATCTCTCTCTCTCTCATTCTATGCATATAAACCTAATTGTACGCGTTCGTAAAATGTGTATGATGTGTCTGAGCGCGCGCATATGAGGTCTACGGTATATCGCGTGTATGTCTGTATGTACGCTTTGAAGTGTTGTAATACATTTCTCGCATTGGTACTGTAATATACAGAGCCGGTTTCATGAAGCTTCCGATTTCTTTTAAATAATTATCATAATTTTACCCTTATGTTACAAGACGAGTCGCAATTTTAATGCAATCAAAATGCTAGAATCTTAATGAACGTGCAAGTCACTTGCACGAAATAAAAACGCGTGAAGAAAGAAAAAAATAAAAGAAAGTAGTGTCATCGATAATATAACAAAACTAATTTTTGTTATAACAAACTAAACGTAGAAACGATTGTATGAATATTGATTTGTACGCACAACTACTGAAACATAGGGTCATGCCCCTGAAACTCTCTCGACTGATTCATAATTTTGATCCATGGTACATTACGCGATTCAGCGTTTATCTACTGCTCATCAAAAAAGCTATGCTAGAGAAGATTGATTCGACGAAATTAAAGCGAATCAAGATGTATTGACGTGATCAGGCTGCTTCCGAAGTGTATTTATGAAACTGGCCTTAACAACTATTACAAACGCCGATATGCAAACTTACTGTCCAATTCGTCTGGAGAGCTGGTTTCTACTTACGAGACATTTCAAAGACAATCGATAGGCGCTCTTCCTGAAAATCGCGCCGGCCTTTCTTTTTTATTCTTTTCTATCTACAGCGTACGAGAGTGTTAGAATTGTAGGATCGCATATATCCTGGCTCGCGGTAGTGCGATCAAGAAATCTAGTTCGCATTCCTTAGGAACGTTTCTTCATCCCAGGCCTCCGCGCCACTCCCGGTCGAGTGATGTACGTAATAGGGAGCGCTTGAAACACAAAGGATTTATGAGAGACATACAGGCCAATCTCGCAGTTAACGCCATGGATCAAGAGAGTCTATGAACAGGGACATCCCTAGAAGAGCAGTCGACATGTTCAAGGTACGATCAGTCGAGACCCGAATTTTGTTGGCACCATAGAAAATAGAAGCTGCTGATGTACAAACGCGCCAGCGACAAGAACGAGGTATGACTACTCGCTAACAAAAGTGGTCAAAGACTTACTCTTGCACGACTTGAACGCTGGCCCGGGACTGTCTCTCTAGGGTTGCCCGCATTCATGGACAAAGATGGTACGCAGCCTGAGGTGCACTGAAATTTAGAATGTACAGAAACGTCCAAGCGTCGTAATATACATTAGCATTTTATTACGCAGACTCTGCACTCATGTGGGCATCGGGTCGACTTCTCTACTTAGATTGGAAAAACATAGTTCACTTCAAATTTTACTTGAAACGAAATAATGGGAAGAGACAAAATAGAGAAATGTACGAATGACAGAAAATCAAAGCCTTTTCGTCCCGCATAAGAGAATAGCCCGCGACTTTTGCTCATTTAGGTGAAACCGAGAACTCTCTACTTTTTCAAGAAATAATAATAATGATCACAATAATAATAAAATAACAACATCGAGAGATAGAAACTCATAAAAAATTATGAACACCGCGCGAGAATTGATCAGAGAAAGGAAGAGAATGCATGACAAAACAAATATTAAATGTCGACGAATAGTCGAACCCCAATTCGCATGAGCTGTTAATCCAGCCTGGAACGTTCACAATGTTAAGTCGGACGGATGGGCAGTCAGTACATTAGCTCTACTCACCTGAACCGGCCGTTGTTGCCACTCGGAGGGGGTGATCGGCGACTGAACATGCCATACTCGTTACCACGGGAGAAGCCAGTGTCACGCATGGATCCCATACCTAGAGGAGGCATAGGAGGCATTGGGTCTCGTCTTGGGGGTAGAGGTGGCATTGTCATTGGTGGAAAGTCAAGCCCGCACATGGAACTTCCCATGTCACAGGGCCCTGTCATACCCGTAAACCGCCTCTCGTAGAGATCCCTGGTGTCCTCGAAGCCCCTCCTGTCATAGTATCCTTCGTAATCCTGTAACGCAAACGAAGAACCACGTTCCTATCAATAATCAGTTGTACAATCCAAACTGCAGCAGGATTCTTCTCGTTTCTACGTATTTTCGTAAACAGTCGAAGAAAAAGAAGACTACTTACTCCAAAGCGGCCACCACCCATTAACCGGTCCCGAAGGAACGGTGGTGGCGGCGGTGGAGGATACGGGTCACGTCCAAACATTCGGTCTCTGTATCCATTCCTATCTGGTCCTCCTCCCATTCCTCCTTTCGGACATTCCTTGGACCAATGACCGCCGCGACCGCATCGGTAGCACTGTTCAGGATCTCCCATTCCTGGCCTTTGTCGTACTCTACTCGTAGAAATTTGAACCTTCATTGGCTGACCATCCACCATCTGTCCATTGAGTTCCTTGATGGCATCGTTGACATCACCTGTTGCTTCTAGATGGACGAATCCGTAATTTCTCACGATGTCGCATTCTACGACGGTGCCGTACTTGGCAAACAATTCGCGCACTTGCGGCGCTTTCGTGTTATCTGTGAGATTGCCGACGAATATTTTTGTAGTAGGAGTGTTAGGTCCCTTACGACTCTTCGCAGCCTCACACTTGATCGGCTGGCCGTGAACTATATGTCCGTTCAAATTTTGTATCGCGTTTCTCCCGGCTTCTTCATTTTCCATGTGCTGTTGCAAAGAACATCATAACGCATTCGTTAAATCGTTAGAAATCGTTCCGATTTTTCGACCAGAAAACAATCATACACATAATGTGATTACGTAACAACATGAATAAAGGAAGTGAATAAAAGGAAAATATATGGAAGTAAGAGTTACTTTACAATTTACGAGTACATGAATCGTGTAAAATAAAGAAGAAACAAAACTTACCACAAATCCATAATTTTTGACCACGTCGCACTCTACAACCTTTCCGTACTTTTCGAATAACGGTTTAATGTCGGCATTTGATGTTTTATCGGCTAAATTACCGATGAAAATTTTGAATGTGCCAACGCTACTAAAACCCGGCATTTTCGGCTCGTACTAGAACCTGATTTTAGAAACAAAATATTTCAAACGTTACTAATTTATATAGTTTACCCCAATGGTATTAATCGTTTAATATATTGCCCTAATATTCCCGAATCGATCCAGTTCGTTCGAGATTCATGTCTTTTCGCTTATAATTAACTTTCTACACCAAAAAATTGTCAAATGTAATAAAATATAAAATTCCTTTGTCTAGTTTTATTCTGCCGACTATAAATAAAGTAAATATAACGTAAATAAAGCCTGTTTTCCAAAATCTCATCAAGCGGTTCATTCAGTGGTAACGCGATTGTTTAGGTTCCCCCCTCTGATACACTCCTTTCCACCATTTTGCTAACGATCTAACAATAAGTTTTCGAATTCCGACGATCATTAATTTTCCCGGAATCTGTGGTTTATATATTCAAGTAACGAGTAAAACGACTCGCGCCATTTGAGAAAACAAAATAATGTTTTCCTGATTCGCGTTCGAAGACGATGAGAAAAACAGAAGCCGCGAAAAGCAGTGCGTTGCAAAGCACGTAGTAGAGAGAGCGTACCGACCTTGCCGAAATGGCGCACGGATCCTAAGAAGTTTACGGGATTAGATCCGCTTCTTTGGATTACCGTAACGTGATGTATGCTTCGATTCCGCACGCTTGCTTTTAGACTCACCCACAATTACTGCGTAGAAACGTACTAAACGAACGACTAAACCGCCAACGAAATCGGACACGCGAGACTTTACACAAGGGAACGCAATCTAACAATGGCGTCTTACTTGCCGCGTCTGCTTATGCGCGAGATGTCGAGGTAGTGGCCCCTGTCGGCAAGCAGCAGTGCGAACGGTGTATCCAAAAATCTACTACGAACGTATCTCCAACCGTATTCTCTATGCTATGAACAAGTTGACGCGGGAATTATTCCTACGCTATACTACTATTATTTTTCTTGGCAATCGTGTTACATTTTATATTGTTTTCGAAATATAACATAATAAACGAATGCTATTCTTACATCTAACAACATTAATCTATTTATATTTTATATGCAATATAACAAGACGTGTGCAGAGTATGATGCACAATTAATAATTGTGTAATACTTGCTCAATTTCTGTTGGAGAATTTGTTACTACAAAGATGCACAGATTACACATTTGCGATTTACGTCACGTATATGATGGTGCCGGAATTCGGTATCTCATTTCTTACAATTTATACTAACCCATTGTTCATAAATGATACGTAAACGTAAAATATATATTATATATTAATAATATCGACAAGTTTCTACGTTCTATTCAAGGTAAACGATAGTATTTGTGAAACTGCATCATTAGGAAAACCGATAAACGTGAAATGGCGTGCTTCGAGTACCTTTGTATGTCGACGCTATGCACCGCATCACATAATATTATTGTTGCAACTAAACGATTTTGCCTATTTATCTGTACCTTATTTTCAAATGATAAGCAACGACATATAGAACATTTGGAGAGTATTAAAACACTTACCAAGTCAGTATTCTCGTAAAACAACCAGATAAAACACAACGCCAAACCACACGCTTTTCTACGTAAAAAATGGCGGACCGAAACAGACAGGGGAAGTGGAAAGCGTCGTCTCTTTCGATGTACCATAGCCAACTAGCCAAAATAAAATTCCCTAAATTTTTCTTCATCGTTATTTTTTGTTAGCGACAATGTCGCGATCAGTTATCCTTCTATTTTAGTTCAATTATTATTTTTTTTTAATGTAATTATAGTTCGTAGACCTAACAGTAAGTACTATTATCCGTATCATGTATCCTTTGAAATAAATATCATTCTAGACTTGAATATGGTAAATCATATAATAATAATAATACTGACTTAATTTGTCTGATCGATATTTAAAACTGAATGATATATTGATAATAATTTCTTCTTGATTATGTAAAACAAATCGATATATTTTATCTTCCTAAAAGAATGATTAAATTGCACAAAATAGTATGAAGAGGAAACTTCCATTGAGAAAGACAGTTTTTTAAATCTAATACCTTTTAACGATATATGTAACTCCTTTGTACAACTTAAATATAAATTACATGTTATAATAGATAATGTAGGATCATATAAAAAAAGGTACGTATTATTAACGTAAGATTCAACACGGTGTAAAACAATATTAGTCAAAAATAATTATTGTTCTAACTATAAGCGTAATGAGATTTATGGAAACTGAAATCAAATAAATTGTCTAAAGTATTCGATCAGAATTTACCTCATACTTCGAGATATTCTAATATACAAGAATATTTCAAATATTTGTATTTGAGAATCGTTACATATTTTTCGTATTCTTCGTATTATTCGCTCTTAACGTAAAAATCGTCTTTATATAAACGATTCAAAATTTCGTATATATATATA